CCCGCCCCGCCGCCTGCCCCCGCCCCTCGGAGCCCGCAGCCGCGAGGAGGGCGCGAGCCCCGTGTCCCCGGGGGCCCCGCCCGGATCCCGCCGCCGACTTCGAGCGCGAAGGGGTTGTCCCCGCCATCGTCGCCACGGCACCCCTCTCTGGCGCCTCCCGACAGCCGAAGGCGTCCTCGGCCCCCCTCGAGCGTACTTCCACACTTTCTCTACGGCCACCGGCTCCCTCACCCTGGGCGGGTACCTCGAGAACGCTCGCTCGTCTCAACTCTTTTCAGGGCGGGACCATCACACAGCGGGGTCGGTTAAATTCTGGTCCTGGGCAATCGGGAGCGATGCCTCGGATCAAGGCTCCGCCCAGCCTCGATTCCTCTCCAGGACCTAGACCGACGTGTTTGCCTGTCTCTCCCGCGCCCCGCACGAATGGTGCTTAGGAACTGTTGAGTCACCCATCATCACACCTCTCCTCCCCACCGCTCTGGGGCTCCGGGAGCCTAGCGGCTGTCACAGTCCTCCCTCAGACAGTCCCAACCCTCTCCTGGCTCCTTGGAGGCTGGGGCGGGGAAGGCTGCGGATTTGCCGAGACAGCTGGGGTGACCCTCTCTCCAGGGCAGTGGCCCGAAGCAGTTGCGGCTTCTGGCCACTAGGTGTCAGCCTGTCCTCACCGTGGTGCGGGCTCCAACCAGCCACACAATGAGTAAGGCAGTTCTGAGGAGCGGGATAAGCAGACCCGAAGGAAGAAAAGCAGCGGCCTTGAGCCGGGGCGGGAAGTGAAGGGGTGTACTTTAGGGAGGTGGAAGTGGAGGACGCGGGCGCAAAGTGGGGACTAGAAGAACAGCGTCTCAAAAGGACAAAAACTAGAAACCCAGGCTCGGACACGCAGGGACCAAAGCCTTTTGGGTGTTTGCTGTGGTCCCCCGATGGTGCCAGGGTTACACATTAACCCCCATGAGGCTCCAGGGTCACTCAAGGCCCAGTCGGTTACTAAGTGACAGCATGGTTTTGATGTCTTGGGTGAGCGGTTTACCCCCTTTTGTGCTCCCGAGTTCCCAGCTGCCTCACTGGAAAGCCTGTCTACCAGAGGACTCCGGCCTGAGCCAGTGACCGCAGGTTCCCTCCGGTCTTTCCACGTAGGCTACTTTGGGGCGGGGCGGGGACAAAAGATAAACATCCCCTCCCACGCCTTCCTCACCCATTCAGAAATAGGGACATTAATCCTTAGCTAACGACCACCTCCTGAACTCTAGGGTTTCATATCTCCCTTAGAGACGCGGTGTCGAACCCCTAGCAGCGACGCTAACTAACGAGCCTACCATCTCTGCACAGAAGCGGGGAACCCTCTCGGTTTCCCCCACCCTGACACTTTGGGGTAGAGGTTTACTTCTATTCCATCTCACCCCCAAGAGGTTCCAGATGAGCACCGAACACTGGGTCCCCTGACGGCAGCGTTTAGTTCGGGGTTCTGAGTAGTTGTGACACCCAGGGGACCACGTCACCTTCTCTCCAGGTGAATCAGTTTGTCCGTCTGGGGCTTTCCCGGTTTCTGCCTTGGCAAACACAGCACGCTCTCGGCTGATCCTTTACGTGCCAGAAAGGAATCCCTTGATGCTGCTGAATTAGTGCCACGCCTAGGCAGCGGGGACTCCGTGCTCGCCTCCCACTCCCATTCGACCTTTGGGGCACGATCTTGTTTGCGCGGGGCAACTTAGGCGAGCGCCGCATCGCTCCGGTCTAACGACCCGTGCCAAGTTACGCGCGTGCAAAGTGGTTGTACTGAGCCGAGCACCGAGGGGCTCGCCGAGGAACCCGGAGCGCCTATCCTCCACCTCCCCGTCGTCGGGGGCAGGGCCGAGGGGAAAACGCGACTTACAGTCAAAGAAAAGGCGCGGGCTTTAACCTACGCCCCCCGTTCCGTCGGCTCCGCCCTGAGAAAGGCCTACGGCGAGGAGGCGGAGCTCCCGGATGGGCGGGTCCGCGCACGCGCCGCACTGGAATGCCACAAGCGTTTCTGAGACATGAGATGGAGAAGTACGAGCGGATTCGAGTGGTGGGAAGAGGTGCCTTCGGGTGAGCCAGGGCTTTGGGGAGGAAATGCTACGGGACAAAGAAAATAAACCCCAATTCTGATCAAGAAATCCTGGTCCTGCTGGCCCCGCCCCGAAGCGAGAGCTCCCCTCCGGGATGCCCCGCCCAGGCAGCCTGTCCTTAGGTCTAGGCGGGGGCCCCGCCCCTGGCGAAATCACGCCCACCGGACCACAGTGCTGTTGGAAAATAGTTCTTGCCGCTGATTGCTTGTTCTTTGCTGCAACTGATAATGTGCATGAGCTGCACAGGTCAGACTGCCCGGAGTGTATATACAGCTATGACCAAAACAGGCGTGGTACTTCCCTTTACCTACTTAGAACCATAGGAAATTGATACAAATAAACAAGATATTGTATAAGCAGTGAATGAAAGTTTGAACAGTTAGTTATTAAGAGGTCGTACATCAGATGGGATGGTATGTGCCTGTAATTCCAGTACTTGGGAGCAAATGTAAGAGCATTGTTGTGAATTCGAGGCCAACTTGGTCTATGTAGAGATTGTCTCCAAAAGAGAAAAATAAAGCCGGGCGTTGGTGGCACACGCCTTTAGTCCCAGCACTCGGGAGGCAGAGGCAGGAGGATCTCTATGAGTTCGAGACCAGCATGGTCTACAAGTTCCAGGACAGCCTTCAAAGCCACAGAGAAACCCTATTTCGAAAAACCAAAAAAAAAAAAAAAA